CAACTACATCTTGAACTTTATTTTAGAAATGAAAACAATGTAACCTAAACATTTATACCCTCATATTAATCTGAAATTTAAAAAAAAGAAAAGAGGAAACTGAGATTTGGGAGAGTGAAGTAACTACCCCAGGTCAAAAGTGAAACCAGGTCAGTCTCCTTCTGAAGCCTAAATTCTTCTCTACCCTGCTCTCTGCCATGTCAGTGATCCCTGACATGCCGATAACCTGAGACACTTGTTTAAAATGCAGACAGTCCTGGACATTCTGATCCCATATGCTTATTCCTGCTGCTGGGACTCTGCATTGATGACAAGCAGCAGAGGCTATTCTGAAATAGATGCCTTAGAACCTCAGTCTGAGGAGCAGAGCTCCAGGCATCATTAAGTATCTGGCATCCCTAGTCCAGCCCCCAGACATGAAATGGCTTCCTCAAGGCCAGGCCACTAGCCCATGACAGGGCTGGGATCAGAACGGAGCCAGCTGGCCCAGCATTCTTTCCACCACATTCCAACAGAGAAAAAAAATGCAAGTCTCTTAGGGAGCTTTGTTCTTCCCCTCATTTTTCAGTTCTTCAAGCAGCCAAACTCCCCTGGAGCGTCAAACAATATGTTCAAGGCCAGCACGGAAAAATCACACCACTAATTCGAAAAGTCTCAGTGCTTTGTGCCCACGTACTGCCAAAATTGGAAGCAGTGAAAATCATTTAAATATTACTTTTCTTTAATTGTGAGAATATCAGTGTGTGAAAATTGCCGTGTGTAACCTTAAGAGTTGTTACAGCTTTCTAAAAAGCAAGCTTGCCTTTTCCAACTGCCATTCAGCAAGTATTGTTTCTCCTCTTACACATCCCCATTAAACTCTCAGCACAGAATTAGACCTACATAATATCTAAACGGGGATCAGGATAGATTCTTAAGGGTAGATGTAAATGGATGCCTTATACGTCTATGAGATTATTACAGCTACATTTGCTGTTAAGCTGCCATTCTCTAAGTTATCGCCCCGAGAGTGGTGTTTTCTCTCTGTATTTACCCAGTTTGTGTGGAATGAGCAAACATCAAGATTGTTGGCTTCATGCCACGGTTCAGCAAACAATTGTTCCCCTGTTCCTGGGCTTATTTATTTATTTCTGGTTGTTCTCGGCAAGGATCTGTCATACCGAGTCTCTTAAAGGGACACCTAAAATTAGGTTGGAATCTGCACTTGAGGGACAACATCATTAATTCGTGGCTGGTGTGATGGCATGCATTGGCACACAAATTACAAAAATCTTGATTATGCGAATGTTGTTGTTGTGTGTGTGCTTTTTAATGACAGTATTCTGGTACCGGTTTCCTTTAGGTATAGTAGTTGGCTTTGTCACACGACTGTTCACAGACAGATTAATCATGAACTGGCTAAATACAGTTGATACAGTTACTGAGGCAACCTGCCCCAGTGGAAACTTCAGAGACCTCCTCCCTCATGTCAAAGCAATATGGTGTGCATGGATGAAAGAGGGGAAGGTGACTGTTTTCCAGAAATACAATATTTGGGTTGAAACGTCTGACAAAGGGGACATGGAGAACCACAGCAAAATGAAACTTTAAAATGAGGTCTTTGAATTAAAGATGACACTCAAAATTCCACTCGTTGCTCACAATCTGATGCTCTCTGGTCTTTTTTCAGAAGCTACAACGCTGCCTGCTCAGATGCAAACCAGCAGGCAGCACAGAGAGGTTTTGTTCCTCACTCTACAGACGCCTGTGGAACAGGGTGCTCCAGTGAAGGATGGGTGGGTTTTATCAGCTGAATGAAGCCACTTAACAAAATGTTTTACAGGCCTGGGGATTCTGTCACTTAATGAGATAAATTCCCCTTCTATGGCAGTTACCCTGCAGTTTTTTGCCCTTCTGGAAAGGACACAAACTCTTTCTAGCTATTATAGTTCCATGTAGCTATTTAATAGCAGTGTGGGAATTACTTTATCACTTTAAATCAGAGGTCAGCCAACATTTTCTGTAAAAGGCTAAATGATAAATATTTTAGGTTTTGCAGGCTGTACGTCTCTGTCGCAACACAAAAGCAGCCATAGATAATCCATAAACCATGGAAATGTCTGTTCACAAACACTGAAACTAGAATTTCATATAATTCTCACAAATCACTTAATCATATTCTTTGATTTTTCTCCAACCATTTACAACATCTAATCCAGTCTTTGCTCATGTACCTACCACATCAAGGCAGAGAGGCGGCGGGATTTGGCCCCAGGGTCAAAGGTTTTTAACCCTTATTATTTAAGCCAATAATAGACCAATAAAGTAGATATACCCAAACGGCCATCAGCTCCCCCCATCTACCTAATCCTTAGCAAGCATTCAAAATGTTACTGTAAAAGTTAGTTAGGACATGTTTGGGAATGAAAGTCAGCACATAATTTTTCTGTTCGTAGGAAGAATGCTGGTAAACTCAGTGATTTTGGTGTTGGGATCAGAACTGATTTCTCTAGGTGTCTTTGCACTTCTCAGGAAAGCCTGGAGTCTGAGCTGAAATAGGAAAGCATTCACTATGGAATTTGAAGCTCCTGGGCTGCGTGTGACCAACCCTGCCCTAACATACCAACACCTCAGTAGTGCAGGGAGAGCTCTTTACTCTCTGGTGCATCCTGCATCCTGCACAGGTTAATTCTCCATCAGAGCAGAGACAAGGCAGGGACACTGACTCCAGAGCTTGCGAGAGGGCAAGTAAGGATTTCTTTTCTCTTTCACCAATTTACGAAGATCCCTTCTCTACTCAGGAAGAGGGATGAGAAGCTGGTATAGCATTGGGTCTCCCCACTGTAATTTTATGCATAAAAGTCTTCCTAGACTGAAAATACCTTCATAAATAGAGGCCAGCGTTCCTTTTCCTCTATATTTGGTTGTCTTATAGACTTCATCTTAATTCTTCCCCGTCATTTCCCCCCTCTCTTCTTTCTCCTTCCTGCCCCTTTTCCTTTTCACCTTGTTTTCAAAGAATGATTTAATATTCAGAGGCATTTTACAGCCTTTCTACACAAAGTGTGGCTGTATTTATTACCTGCGTTTTTAATGTAATTAATTTAATTATAAGTTTATATCCTTTAATTTTAATAAGGGCTGTGTTTAATAACTGGGTCCAATTACTCCTGATAATGAGCTCTCAGCAGCCAATACTAGCTGACCCTACTATTCCCCTAGACAGAAGGCATTTTCACATCTTTGGAGGCACCTAGGATGCTCCAGAAAATTCCTGCACAATATATTTGGGGACTGTCGCATATTTGGGGACCATCGCATACATTTACAGCAAACCTCTGTTCACAGAGAGCCTTAAAAGCCAAAAAAAAAAAAGTTCTGTGCAATACATCATTCTTCCAGTTCTACAAAAACCCACTAGACTTTCTCAGCAACACTTTATAGGTGTTCTTTGTGTTGGGTTATTCTAGTGGAGAATGTTCCAGGTTCCAGTTAGACCATTTCACCTGACTTATTACACCCATGAGCGAATACTTTTAGAGAAGTTCCACAGACACCATTGTAGCCTTGTTTCAACTATTCATTCATAAATCTTTAATGTTTGTTGCTCCAGAATTATAATGCTTTGCCTTGACTTTCATCTCGTCTTTCCTCGACTTCAGTTTTAGTAAAAGAAAAATTGACAGCAACATCCAGTAAGGCGGAGGGAGCATGAAACTTTCAGACACCGTAAGTTATCAGCTTCCTAGAACAGAGCTGACCACTGGTTTCCTTGGAAAGAGTTTTACGTTTTTAGGAATCCTTAGTTCTATTTTCATGGTGTTGTAGATGCTTAAAGGACTGAATCCGACCACCTGGTCCTCATCCCAGCTCCCTCATTAACTAGTTCCCAGAGGTGCTGGGACCATCACTCAAATCCTCAGAGCCTAAGTTTGCAGCCTGTACAAACAAGCATTGGTACACGATCCCTAAGATCCCTGTCGGGTTTATTATTATTATTATTATTATTCTCAAAATAAAACAAAAATAACAATAACAATTGAAAACAGATAAAGAGAAAAAATCCAGGGAAAACAAACTTGTTGCTTATTTGAGCAGTCTTTGGTCTTTTTTTGATGAATTACATCATTTTTATTTGATCCTCTGAGAAATATGACTAGCCACGCTTTTTCCTTACAGTGTCAGGGCTCGTAAAAAGCACCTGCCGTAAAAATGATTTGCGTGACCCATAGGGCGGCTGCCGAAGCTGTTTATGGTCCTAAGTGTCTGGTTTTCGTCACCGTGCGGGTTTCCGTTGGTGTGGCCGTCCCTTCTGAGGTAAGTCCTGTACCACTGCCTCTACTCCGGCCACCTGCCCTCAAGAGAGCTCTCCACTGACTGTCGCCTTCCACGCATAACCTTCCACACGTCCCAGCGGCATCTGAAAGCAGCTCAAGCGCTTGGCAGAGGCACCGGGAGTTGGGGCGTGTCCCACGCAGTCTCACAAAGGAAAAAAATAAGGTCACCGCAAGATGCTTACGACTCCAGTTCCTTTAAAACGAACTTGGCTAGACAGCCGGCCGTCTCCTCCCCTCCTCTAGCTCTGGAGAAGGCTGCAATTTGCATTCTAGTCGTGATGTAGACGCCTCCAGCCTTCTAGTTTTCAGTTTACAAAAGTCCCTTCTTCGCCGCCCAGGTCCCGCGTCTGAGTGACGCTGTTTATTGTGGCAACCATCGCCGACAGCTGCCCAGATGCCGAGCGCGTCCTGCAGAGCGTGGCAGTGCAGAGAGTGCGGGAAGCAGGTGGTGGGGAACGCAGGTGCAGGGGCGCGGGGCGCAGGGCACCGCAACGCAGGGGCAGGGGCGCGGGGCGCGGGGCGCAGGCACCGGAGGGCAGGTGCAGGGGCGCGGGACGCAGGGGCACCGCAGCGCAGGGCCAGGGGCGCGGCCGCCCGAGCTCGGGAACCCCCGGGGCGCGGCGGGGAGCGCTCGCGGGGGCGCAGGCAGAGAAGCCGGCAGAGGAGGAGCAGGGCGGGAGCAGCATGGGCTGCCGCCCTTCCCAGCCCGCTGAAGACAGAACACGCATCCCCGCGCCCAGGAAGGGCTGGGAAGAGGGAGTCAAGGTAAAAACGAAAAACAAACTAAAAAAGATAAAAGCGTTTAAGCGTGTGGGGCGTCTGGGGTTCCCTGGAGCAGGGTCTACCCAAGTTCACAGCTCCCCTACTAGGTGGGAAGTGGAGAGGACAGATGAGAGTAACTTTATTCTGCACGTGTTAACTGCTTTCTTCACCAGGAAATATACAGAAGATGCCAAAAAAAAAAAAAAGTATACTCATTTTAAGAAAGGAAAAAACTGAATTAAAATCGTAATGCTCAAAATACACCCATAACATTTGTTATCTTGTATCTTGTATCGCTGGTCGTTGCAGAAGTCAAATGCGACTCAAGTATTAACGATTTTAATACTTTTTTGCTGAAAGTAAAGTATACACTTTTGTAGAAGTATTTAATACTTTTTTGCTGAAAGAAAAACTATACAGATTTTTCTTTCTTAAAATGTGTATATATTTTTGGCATGCTCTGTAGATAAATACACACGTGTGTATATATTTATTCTAACAGGACCAGTTCTTTTGTGGTTTAAAGAGCCTGTGAAGGTGGTCCACACCTCAGGGCAGAGGCGGGGAAGAGCAGGGCCTTCTGCTCAGAGCTGGGACCTGCGGTGATTCTCAGGGGAAGGTGGGAGTTCCTGGAAACTTTCCTGTTTTATTGGCTTATGGAAAATGGTCCTTTGGTAGTTACTTACTTATAATTAGGCAAGATCTCAGGGCTCTCAGACGCTGTCTCCGGATCTGTCATCTGTGTGCTCTGGGTTGAGAGGCCCAAAGAGGGGGGACATCTTGCCCAAGGCCGCACAGCCTCTCTGGGGGCAGAGCAAAAGTAGAATCTAGAGTTCAAGAGTCTTTCCATTTGCCCTCAAGGCTACATCCCCTCTAATTCTTCTGGAGACATTAAGGAGATTTTTCTACAGAGTGGGACGTGGAGGGATGGGTTGGTTGGGGCAAAAACAAAGGCATGACTTCTTTCCATTCTTACCACCATCAGGATTTTATAAACAGAGCTAGGAGCCCTCAGGGGTTCATTTCAGGGGAGTTACCCCAAGATAGAGCTACCATGTAGCTTATAATCAAATCATACTGTTAAGAGTGAAAGAGAACTCACTATTAATAAATGCTCCCAGGCAATCTGGCTGAAGCCCAGCAAACTGGGACTTATGGCCACATTTCCTAGAGGGCATTTTTGGAATGACTGTTTAAACAGCATGCACTGCGTCTCTGCAGGTGCTGTGCAGGACCATTAGATGCTACTCAGAGCAAACACTGCACATGGAGCACATCTGCTGGCCTCTTGGAGTACGTTTCAGAAACAAGCACACCAGAGTCTAGTAAGGGCTGAGACTCCAGGCTGCATTCCTGGCCCTGGCGGAAGCCTTCACCAAAATGGCCACCCTTCTTAACAAAGTTTTCTGCTTTCCATCCCAAAGCTACCAGATCTGTGTTTATGGATCCATTACCATTTACCAGGTCTTTGTGCCTCTCCTGTCACCACCCTCACCAGTCTACTCCTCACACTGTCACCTATCTTCCCATGAAAATTTTTGTAGTGTGCAAAAGCTTTTACAATTTGGTCCCATCCTTTCTCTTGAATCTCATCCTCTCCTCTAAGACCAGTGCCTGTCTCTTGTGAGGCTGCCAGGCCCAGTGACTTGCAGGGCTCCATTCTCTCAGGCTTCTCAGGCCTCCATGCCTGCCCTTCCTTTGCACCCTGCCCCTGCCACCCTGCCTGCAGGGTTGATCTTACATCTGCTCCTGTCATATTTCAAAACATTTTGTTGTATTTGTTTCCATGTCTGCCTCCTATCCTGCACTGTTTCCTCCTTGAGATCAGTTATTGTTTCATCTTTGTATTTGCAATGCTTACCACACGGCATCAGATTGACCTGCAGCAGGCACTAGTGAATGCTTCTTGATCGGCTACGTGTCCCTCCCGGTTCTAAGACTCCTCAGTGTCTTCTTGTCTCATAGGAGCGTAACTAGTTTAATAACAGCCAGCAAGGAGAAAATTTAATATTAACATATCCTGAAAATAGACTCAGAGTCAACTGATGCATATACCTTTCCCTGTCCCAAGTACTTGACATTGGAAATCTGATCTGGGAGAGGTATGATTATTATTAATTAACCACTTTATAGCCATGAGAATAGTAATGCTTTTCCTACTTTCATAACTATAAAAGGCTTAGAGCTTACTTAGTAGGTCAGCAGTGTCTGTAAGATGAAATGAATCTTTGCTTGCATGAAATATTTATGTTTCTTAGAGGTGCCACTTCAAGATATTCTGAATTAAACTTCTTGAGACCTATCTACAGATGTTTTGTTCCTTTCTACCTTAGTCTAATCTAACAGGGCAAGAAGACACTGTAATAAAATAATGCATAATAATAAGAAAAGTATGAGAAAACTTTTCTTAGCTGGAGAAATGCTCTCCTTCTATATGAATAACTCAAAGTTCCTTGTCTGTTATAAGAGGAGACAGGCTAGATTGGCATAGATGGTCTCCAAGGACCCTGCACAGATTTTTCCCAATGGCTGAAAAAGGAAATTCTTGATTGTCAGTAAAAAGACCTCAATTACTTCCTAAAGTCCAACTTTTAAAACAATCATATTTCTGGCTGGGCGCAGTGGCTCACATCTGTGATCTTAGCACTGTGAGAGGATGAGGTGGGTGGATTGCTTCAGCTCAGGAGTTCAAGACCAGCCTGAGCAAGAGTGAAACCCTGTCTTTACCAAAATAAGAAAACTAGAAGGGTATCATGGTAGATGCCTGTAGTCCCAGCTATTCCAGAGGGAGATACTCCTGTGAGCTACAATAACACTATGACACTCTACCCAGGGTCTCAGAATGGGACTATGTCTAAAAATAAATAAATAAATGAAATAAAATGATCATAGTTCTGACTGTTTTGGAGAGTTGTTATTTATTATTCCATCTGTTAGAATTAAACTAGGAAAAACCTCAAATTTTGAAGAATTGATTCTTCCCAGATGTCCAGAGACAAATATATTTATAAATTGCATATACTAATAATTTAATTTAGAAAGGTTTTAGCTCCAGGAAGCCTCAAGGAGTTATCCCCTCAGAGCTGTTTGGCAAATAACGTACCCCCAGAGCTGCAGGACAGGTGTAATACATCCATGCTGAAAAAAAACAACAAACAAAACCCCACCTGTCTATAGTTAAAAGGGATACTTCTTAAATTGACCTAATTTGCATAACTGTTAGTTTGTAATTGACAACTTTTTAATTCGGTCTGAAATTGATAACATTTTATCCCCAGGTCTCTGAGGTATAACACAATGTTGATACGAATTGTAAAAAACACATTCAATCTGTTTTTCTGTTACAACTTCATCTGAAGGAAAAAATAAAACCTTCCCCCCAGTTCCCTGCTGCAGTACCATTGCTTGTACAATGGAGGTGTATTTCTTAACTGGTGTGGAAACACTGCATACACATCTAGAACCAGAACACTGTTTACCTGATTTCTGAGATGCATAGATCTAATTAATTTGTAAATATGTCTGGTTTTGAGCTTTGTCTATTCTCAAATCTACATCATGAAATTGGGTTAAAACTTCCAGAACATGCTGCATAGAGGTAAGATATTTGAGAGATGTTCTTATTTTTCAAAAAAGAAGAACCTTAATCTTTTGCTTTGGAAACAGAAGACTGGTTTACGTTGTTTTATGCTAAAAAAATTGTATTTTGTCCACTGCAATTAAGCTTTGGTCACTAACAGGGCTCAAGGGGAGGCTGTCTCTAAATAAGCATAAATAGGTAGAGATCCTTGCTAAGGCCTGGATTCTAATTCCAAGCAGTTCAAGTGGCTTTGATGAAACAATTGTGAGATCATTCAGGGGTGGTAGCATTTAGATCTATTTCAAGTTGTGAATCACAGAATATCTTTGTGAATAACCACCTTTTAGACTGAACGTATTCGGATTTGCTCTGAACTCCAATGTAGGCATTTTGTTGTTGCTGCTGTTGTTAAATCAATTACAATTTTCAGGATCTTTATTTGGAAATGTTAAATGAAAAACTTTGTCCTTCTGTGTAACTCAGTGCTTTACTAGGATCCAAAAATGATGGGTCTGTTGAACAAAATAAACTTGTGAAAATATTTATGTTACTATCACTGCAGATACTGGCTTTTAATCATTTAGTTAAAAGAAAGTAAAGAGCACTTAACATGATTTGCATCTTTACCTTCAGTATAAACTGAGTTTCTGGAAGAAAAGCCCCAGACAGGATTTTCTTTTCCTTTGTTATATATAACAAACACACACACAAACACACACACATATATATGTATGTGTATATATACACATACAGATTAGAACCAACCTCCGTAGTTGACCACTCCCTTCTTAAATTGACCTAATTTTCATAGACCAGCCTTCACCATGTGTACATATCAGTACAGTAGACTTAGTTCCCTATGTTGACACCTCCATATGTTGACCAAAGTGATCTTTGTTACAGTTCCCTTGAGTGGTATACTTATATTCTACTGTATATATATTTATGTATTACATTGCATGTAATATGTTATGTTTAAAGACTTTTCCTGGGCCCACTGACTCTACAGGGGTCACATGGGTAGTAACCATGTTTATGAAGAAAGACAGAGGGAGAAAGAGAGAAGCATGTACTTGCTTTTAGGCCTTCTCCTTGTTCTGATTCCTATTTCAGATACATGGGGGTTTTGTTTGCTTACTTGTGTGGTTAGTTGGTTGGTTGGTTGGTTTTTCATGTTTTCACATACGGTCTTGACCCACAGAACTAATTAACCCTAAACACAATGACCTCATGTTGGTTTAGCTGAAGTGATGATTTCGTCTACACAAGGTGATAGGAGCTATGTAAGACCTCCTATGAACACGCAAGAATCCCTAACTGACTTATGAAAACCTACCTGATCATGACCAGTGCTTCTATAAGCCAGCCTTTGCAATTTACTTAGCCTCTAACGGACATCAAATTTTGGAGTAATTCCAGAAAGTAGTCTAATGTGTACATGATTTTACTATAAGGTACCAAGAGTTTCATACCAACATCCTATTTTTTTATTTAGTTTTCCTAAAGGGAATGTCTCCTCCAGTTCTTAGAGTCATAATTTTAGAGCCAAGAGGGAGTTTCCTTCTTCAAACTGAGGCCCTAAGATGTCAATTCTCTACCTTTCTAATATTTCTGGACCTACTTCTTTCCCCTATTTTCACGGCCAATGTGCTAGTTGACGTTTAATCAAATATCACCTGGATAACTGCAATAATTGTAACTGATAATCCTGTTCTGTCCTTCCCTTCCTTCCACTTCCATCACTTATACTCACCCAAAAGTGATCTTTCTAAAAAAAAAACACACCTGGTGAATTTATTTTACTTCCATGGATAAAAATCCCATGAAGGATTTCTGTTGCATTCAGAATAAATCAGTCTCCTCTAACTTGTCACAAAAGACTTCCTTTTCCCACCTCACATCTTCCACTCTCTACCTCAACCTGTTTCCACTACGCTGGGATAGTTCACATTTCTAGACACACCATAGGTTTCATATCCTTCTCTTGTATATGCTTTTCCCTCCATCCAAATTGCCCTTCTCTCCTTGTCCACTGGAAACACATTCATCAAGACCCAATTCAAGCTTCTTCTCCTCTTTAACACGTTTTGCTACCCCCAACAAGACACAAGCTTGTATCACATATACTAAGGCTGTGCTGCAGACAGAGAGAGGTAGAAAACAGAGTCCTGAAGTCCTTCAGAGACTCAGCAGAGCAGAAGCACCCATGGGCCCAAAAAATAAAATTAGTAGACAGAAGAAGAGTCTCGAGAAGACAGTACTCCATGGAAGATACTTATATTCTTATCTCCTATGGAGACACTGAGGAGGCCTCCTCTGGTACGTGTCTCAGATGGAGAAGTTGATAACACCCACTACAATGGGACGTGGAAAAGTGGCCACCCAAGTGATGAAGGATTGCTCAGCACCAGAAGAGAGGAGCTGTGGTAGTTAGAGAAGGTATGAGAAAAGTCTTCCTGAACATGTTAACATGTAAAATGTACTTACTCTCAAAATAAAGGACAATTCTTCAAGTTGAATTAATTTAACTTCATGAAAAACTCATCACATTTTTCTTATTCCTTTTCTTTTGCTGTGGAACTAGGAAAAATTTGGCATGGATAATCACTTTGTCCTCAATGGTTTCTTAAATCACACATAGGCCGTATTTTTACACTTTGTTTTGACCTGTGTACAAGCAGTGGAACCGTGGTTTGAAGAAATAGGCATCCTTGAAAGGAGAAGGTTGGATTGTAAATTAGTGCAGTATTTGCGGAGGGCCCTCTGGAAACACGTGATAAATATAAAATGTGCATACCCTTGACCCAGCATGTCCGCATCTAGGAATCGATTCTCACAGAATGACAGGAAGGGTTCACACCGATATATATGCGTGGATATTATTCCAGCACTACCACTTATGAAATTGAAAAGTTAGAAATGACTTAGATGTCCTTCGGTAGGAATTGGTCAAATAAAGTGTGGTATAATTATATAATGGACTACAGTGCCACCACCATTAAATAGAATGAAGTAGACGTATATATGCTGACATAGGAAACATCTCTGATATGTGTCAATGGGGAAAACGTGTTACAGAAATATGTCATTAATGTGTAATTCTATTTACTTTTTAAAATAGCTTTATTGAAATATAATTCACATACTCTATGATTTACCCACTGTCTTAGTCTGTGCTAGTGTAGCAGAATACCACAGACTGGGTAAGTTAAAAAGAACAGAAATTAATCTCTTGCACTTATAGAGGCTGGGAAGTCCAAGATCAAGGGAACACAGATTTGGTTGTTTGGAAAGGGCCATTCTTCCATGTTCTCACTTGAAGGCAAGCCAGTTCAAGGCTGTGTGAAGTCACTTTTATAAATGCCTTAATCCCCTTATGAAAGGAAGAGCCCTCAGGGCTTAGTCATTTCTTAAATGTCCCACCTCTTAATACTGTCACATTGGTAACATTTGAATTTTGAAGGGCACACATTCAAACCATAGCATCCGTTTGAAATGTATAATTGACAACCATCAGGCAGGAAGATCACTGGAGCCCAGGAGTTTGAGGTTGCAGTGAGCTATGATGACTTCCTGGCACTCTAGTCCTGGCAACCAAGCGAAGCAAGACTGTTTCTAAAAGAGAGAGAGAGAAAGAGATTGATTTTACAATAAACTTAGTTGTTGTTTGTTTGTTTTGTTTCGTTTGGTTTTTAGAGACAGGGTGTCTGTCACCCAGGCTGGAGTGCAGTGGTGCAGTCATAGCTCACTGCAGCCTTCAACTCCTGGGCTCAAGAGATCCACTTGCTTTAGCCTCCAAACTGCATGAGCCACCATACTTAGCCAATATTACTGTTTTTAATCAGCAAAAACAATATAGTTTCATTTTCCTTTAAACTTAAAAAAAATACCCTAGTACCTCTACTGTGATACTGATGATTATGAACTTGCTCATCTGGCATCCTTCAGCACGCTTGGCATGGTATCTTGTATCTGGCAAATTCATGTTAGGTACTACATTAGTTTTCTATTGCTGCTCAAATAAATTAACACAACTTTAGTAGCTTAAAACAACACAGACGTATTCTGTTACACCTCTGGAGGTCAGAAATCCAAAAGCAGTTCCATGGGGCTAATGTCAGGGCGGTGCAAGGCTGGCTCCTTTCAGAGGCTCTGGGGAAGGAGTCCTTCCTTGCCTTGTCCTGCTTCTTGGAGCTGAATTCCTGACTTTGCTTCCTCCGCCTTCAGCTCCAGTACTCTAACGTTTTCCAATCTGTGGACCTCTCACCTTATCATTTTCCCCTTTTCTGTAGTCAGATCTCTGTCTCCTTTTTATAAGGACACTGGATAATTCAGGGTAATCTTGCCATCCCAAGAACCTTAATCACACCTGCCAAATTGTTTTGCCATATATGATAACATCTAGTTTCTAGGTACTACTCAGCCTACCACAGGCACTGGTTGGCTACAGAGCACAAACCTGACCCTGCAACCTTGCTTATGTTTTCCGAGAAGTCTTGACTGTCATAAAGCTGTTCCCTTTTCACAGGCTGATGTTGCCAAGGGGGCTTGCAGCCCCCAAAAGGAAACTGCACTGCCCAAGGACACTGTGAACAATGCAGAGGACCTGAAACAAGCCCCAATGGGAAACTTACCCGGAACCATTCTAGAAAGTTCTCCATCTCCCAGTGAAAGAAATCGAACAGTAAATTCAGGTAACCTTCCTCCACCCTATTCACGTTGGTCTTTACAGAGCACTATTTCTCTAAATATATTACACAATGTCCGTTTGGTAGACCTTTTATCACTGCTCTGTGGACCATGAAGTACTTTAAATGATAAGATTTTTATCCCCAAGACGTTAGAATTTAGTCTTAGGTTTTCATGAGGTGAGTAAATAATGCTACATATTAATCTTCTTGTTGCTGAAGTAATTAAAACCATCTTAAAAAAAAAAAAAAACTAAGAGCCTTTTTGAGAGTTGGGAACAAACCTTTGGAACAGCTCTTGCAAAGTTTAAAGGAATTTAACCTCCCACTATGTTAACATCTTTCCCAGGGAAAGTCTACATTTTCAAAAATAAATAAAACCTACACCAAACTGTGTTCTGCAGCTTTCCCCACCCAAATTATCAGCAAATATACAATTAAAGAATCTTTCAAGATGTAATTTAAATGAGGTGGTTACTCCCTAGTGTGGTCTTTAGAAACTATTGGTGGTTTTTTCCCTATGGCGGGTTTCCCTTTACTTGACTTACCCCCCTGGTGTTGATTTAACTCACCTTATTTGTAGTTGTCAGCCTTTGCAACAGAGTGAACTTCAGAGACCTCAAGGAAAGCTGCTCCGTTTTATTCTTCTCTAGCCACAAGTAAGGACTGGAAAACAAGTTAACACATGTGATTATTTTTCTTGGACTTTGCTGGCACACTCTGGTTACCACAGATTTTAATATTCTCTCTCCTCTTGCAGCTCTGATATGTCAACAAAACCTCTGAGATGATGTAGGTGATTGGGGAACGCAGGGCAGGAGCAGCCCCTCTTTTTCTTCTCTGTCTTGGGCCAGCTCAGACATTATTTACCCTCTGATAATTCTGTTGAGACCCTCTCTAGACGGCAACATGACTGCTAAATATCTGTGTTGGTCACAGACCACAGATTGTCAGGCAGACAGGGACCAGGTGTGTCCTAGGACCTCCAACCCCCAGCACTGCTCTGAGGTGTGTTAGGAACCAAGCTGTGCAGCAAGAGGTTGTGAGTGAGCCAGTGAGCCACGCTTCATCTGTGTTTACAGCCAGTCCCCATCACCAGCATCACCACCTGAGCTCCACCTCCTGTTACATCAGAGGAGGCATTAGATTCTCATAGAAGCACGAATCCTACCGTAAATGGTGCATGCAAGGGATCTAGACCTCATGGTCTTTATGAGAATTAAATACTCACCCCCTATGGCACCCCCCAAACCCCTGTCTAAGGAAAAATTTCTCTTCCATGAACCCAGTTCCTGGTGCCAAAAGGTTGGGGACTGCTGTCCCCAACACAGTCAGTCCTGCCAGCCACATACACACTGCTAAAACTGTATACAGAAGGCAGGAGAGTGCTGAGCCAGAGCAGCTGGGGTGGGAGACAGCCACCAATGCAGCTGTTTCTTAAATGTGGTGTCACTGAGTGTTCAGGAAGCACCTTCCTGCAGAATGAAGAAGACCGTGTACCCTAGACTTGCTGTTTGCTCTCTGCCCAGTTGCTTTTCTTCCTCCGAATTCTGGGTGTCCTCCTTTCTGTGCCTCTGTTCTTCACCTGTGCAGAGTATATTTGTTAAGAATCTCAGGTTTCACACTATTTCCCAAGTGTTTCCTTTTTAAAAAGCTTTTTATTTAGAATAATTTCAGATCCAAGAAAAGGTGCCAAAATCGAAGAACACCTGTATTCTTTCACCCAGATTTCCCAAATGTTAATGTGCTAACACAAGGACTTTTTTTTTTCAGTTTTTGTCTGGGGCTGGGATTGAACCAGCCACCTCTAGCATATGGGGCCAGCACCCTACTCCTTTAAGCCACAAGTGCCACCCAAAACAAGGACTTTTTTTTGCATACTCTCCATACAAGGATTGAAATCAGGAAATTGCCATTGATGCAGTACAATTATCTCATCAATAGACCATATTCAGAACAGGTGTGGTGGCTCACACTTGTAATCCTAGCACTCTGGGAGGCTGCGGCCAGAGGATCCCTTATGGTTAGGAGCAGGCGTCCTCAAACTACGGCCCATGGGCCACATGCAGCCCACCTAGGACATTTATCTGGCCTGCTGGATGTTTTTGCCACCATTGCGGGTCTTGCTTAGCAGCTGACTCATCCTGGGGCCCGCAGTCCAGCCCTCCAATGGTCTAAGGGACAATAAACTGGCCCCCTGTTTTAAAAGTTTGAGAACCCCTGCTTAGGAGTTTAAGACCAGCCTGAGCAAGACTGAGACTCCATCGCTACAAAAAGTAGAAAAATAAACTGGGAGGAGTGGTGCACACCTGTAGTCCCTGACACGTGGGATGCTGACAGAGGAGGAATGCTGAGTCCAGGGCTTTGAGGTTGTGTTGAATTATGATGATGCTATTGTACTCCAGCCTGGGTGACAGAATATAGAAAAAGATACTCAAATGTTGTCAGTTATCTCCCAAATGTCCTTTGTAGGTAAATTTCCTGTTTGGGATCTAATCCTAGATCACACGTTTAATTTGGCTGTCAGATGTGACCAGTCTCCTTTAACCAGAAGAACTTCTCAGCTTTTTATTCGTTTTATGCCCTTGACATATTTGAAGAGTGTAGACCATTTATTTTCTGGAATGTTCCTCAATTTGAGTTTTTCTGAGATTTCCTCATAATTAGATTCAAGTTATACATTTTTGTTACTATCAAAAATACTTAACTGATATTGTGTTTTTCTTAGTACATCAGATTAGGAAGTATGTGAGACCTATATTTGACCCATTAGGGATTTTTTTTTTTTTTTTTTTGCTTTGAACAGTTATTTTTTGAATCCAGTGCAATTTACTGATTTTTTAAAATTACATTTGGAATTTTAGTCACAGTTAGAAAGCCTTTCCCTAAGCCAAGAGTAAAGACAAATTCACCCATGTTTCCCTGTATAATTTCAAATGACATGAGAAAATACTAATGTAAATGTTAACTATATGGGAAAAAATGGTATGTCCAGTATTATGTCAAATTTATTAAGATAAAAGTTTACTAACCAACAAGGGTAATCTCTGGGTGGTGAGAACATGCTCATTTTTATTTTACCATTTATTCTTTGCTGTATTTTCTAAACGTATTACAGTAACTATGTATTACTTTTATAATAGCACAATGTCATTTAAACATCCTCCAACATTCCCCAATAGCCAAAGAAAGCAAGAAAACTAGTTGAAATGACTGATAGACTTGAGGGATTTCTGTATAAGTTAGCTACACTTGCATGGGGAGAAGACACGCACGGAAAGGTACTGAAATGGGAAGGGATTCATTGGAATTCCTTGCAATTGTCAATTAGAGAAATCTCTCGTAACAGAGAGGTTACTATTGTCAAATGAAAGACGCCTGATTAGTAAGTGTGTGTTTTCTGTCTGCCCAGCACAAATTCATGAAAACTGTCTTTGCTAACCTCTGAGGTTAGAAATTTTCATAAAAAGATTCCATCCACAAAATGGAATGGACTTGCTTTATTTGGGGGGGGGGCAGGCAGGGCTGGGCTTGAACCCGCCACCTCTGGCATATGGGGCCAGCACCCTACCATTTTGAGCCACAGGCACTGCCCTAGGATTTGGCTTCTATCAGGGTTTCGAGGGAATTACAAAAGAGAAGATAGCTCATTTCTGAGGATGCCCCATTGCACCCTTTTTGACACGAGAAGCGAAACTGCCTTTGGCCCAACAGACCAGGGGCCTTTATTTAATAATGTGATGGCATAAAGGCAGCAGCTTATTTGCTTATTTATACAGTGCGGTGACTTGGAATGGGGGCCTCTCTCATTAGTGCAACTTGTAAAGACTCTCCCATAAACTGTTTCAGTGCTCATTTTTAGATCACTAACAAAAATTTAGTTGATATCACTACAATTCTTATTTGGTTTAAAGACTCTTCAAAAAGGCATACTTTTACTTATGTAGATTTACCAGATGGTATAATTTTAAACTCAGGGTTGCAGAACTAGAAGTCTCTTGGCAACATCACGCTGTTTATCCTCTGTATACAAAGCATAGAAACCAAACTGCAACTCATAATAGTCACCAAAAGAATATCTGAGTCTTAGCTGTGGCTTAGCTACATAATTAGTTGAGCAAACCCGTGTTGTCAGACCCAAGTGTATAAGTGTTGTTACAACAAAAAGGTAGTACATAGCAGCACACAGAAAGACTTTCTGTTATGTTAATATGTGACCTGATGAGTAACTGGCATACTCTGTAAGAGTATTAAAATTTGAACTTCAAAGGATTGCAACAATTTATAATAGAAACAGATATGTAGGTAAGAATGCTGAGACTAAGATTTAATTAAGTAACACTTTTCTTTTTTGTTTATTTATTTAGAGGCAGGGTCTCACTCTGTCACCCCGGCTGGAGTGCAATGGTGTAATCATGATTCACTGTAGCCTTGAACTCCTGGGTTCAAGTGATCCTTCCACCTCAGCCTCCTCGCTGGAACTACAAATACACACCACAGCACCTGGCTTTTTTTTTTTCAGAGATGGTGTCTCACTATATTGCCCAGGCTAGTCTCAGATCTTCCTGAGTTGTCCTCCCAAAATGCAGGGGATTAGGCATGAGCCACCATCCCTGGCCCTAATTAAGTTGCATGATTTATAAGACACCCATTTAGCATTTGATTGGTAAAAATCTTCAGTCTTAAATTTTGCTTTCTTTTATCTTTCCCTTTGGAACACCTAGTGACCAATGGATTAATCAGTAAGCCCCAACCCCTACAGAATCAAGAGCGACAGAAGTCATCAGACATCCTGGAGGAACTAATTGTTCAAGGAATAATACAAAGCCACAGCCAAGGATTTAGAAATGGAGAATCATATGATGTCATGGCAAGTAATTTTGTAATTAACATTAGCTTATACTTAAAAGTAGCAATAGAACATGATTGATCATAGGCCATTATTTCCAGCATATTTAAATTATAATACAGATAAAAGCATTTATCTATGTCAGATTTTTCTTCCATAAACCCTCCCACACCATCCTTTTTTATGGATTTAAAAATTCTCATAATTATTAATGATTAATCAATCCAATAAAATATTTCTTGGGTTTTACTAAGTTTGAAAAACAATAAGCCCCATTGAATAACATGCCTTGATTTTTTCAGTAATTTTTATTATGGATTGCCTATGTCATAGGCGTCATGCCGGGCATTGGGAATATAAAACTAAAATCTGCTTTATCCAATAAGAAAATGAGCCTATAACAACACAATGTTTGAGGTGATGGATAATTACCTGCTAATTACCCTGAGTTGAACATTATAATGTTCAAATGTTACTTAATGATGTTATTGAACACCATTATTGTATATATTATTGAATATTATGAATTATGTCATTATTATGAATTATTGAACATTAGAATGTATACATGTATCAAAACATCATATTATACCCTATGAATATGAACAATTATGTTTCAATTAAAAATAAAATAAAATGTTAAAAAGAAGAAAGAAAAGAAAATGGACCTAAATGCCAAAGCTAAAATAGATACGCTTATGTATTTATACATATGCACACCCTAAAATCAAACATGAGGAAATAAAGACAATTCTAGAAATAGTTATACTACTATTTTTGTTTTTGTTGATTCACCTTGACTAACCTGTCATTGTTTTTCTTTAGTGAGAGTAATATTTTTACTCGGATTTTAACTGGTTTGGCCAAAGTCCAATGTTCCAAATTTTTGAATAAGTTCTATATAAACCCATGAAGAAGATAGCGAGTTTTGTCGTTGTCATTCTTACAAACAATGTTTTGTCATTTGTTTGGGTTTTTGTTTTATTTTTCTTCAAGTCAGTGTTCTCAAGTACCACCAGTAATCCTTGATCCATAGGCAAAAAAAAGATGGTGAAAAAAAAAATAATAACAAAGAAAAGAACCTGCAGGAAAATGAATGGAAAAGAAAGAAAGAGCAATAGTAGAAATAAAGCCCAGAAATCAGGATGGTGCCTGTGGCTCAGTGAGTAGGGCGCTGGCCCCATATACCGAGAGTGGCGGGTTGAAACCCAGCCCTGGCCAAACTGCAATAAAAATATAGCTGGGCATTGTGGGGGGTGCCTGTAGTCCCAGCTACTCGGGAGGCTGAGGCAAGAGAATCACCTGAGCCCAAGAGCTGGAGGTTGCTGTGAGCTGTGACGCTATGGCACTCTACCAAGGGTGACAAAGTGGGACTCCGTCTCTTAAAAAAAAAAACCCAGAAATTACACCAAATGCTCCTTAATGGTTGCCTATCCCTTCTTCCTAGGGAAAACAGTTGATTGAGAATAAAAAGACTCATTATTTAAATCAAGTTTTCCACCCAGACCAAGTCACTTCATGTTTGAATAAAGTTAATTTCCTTCTCTGTGTGTAGGGAATGTTGAGAACTCATGAATAAAAGCTAAAGCGGCATTTTCTTTTGAAAAAGGAAAATAAATCTTGCAGAAGGTTTTTAGGGGAAAAGAGAGGAGATTTTTTAGCCTTCTGAGTGATATTATCAGGCTGCCAATTATAAGAGGATGTGGGGGGAAAAGGAAGGTAAAAATGCACCATATAATAAAAACAATAATGCCAACATGATGACGATTCACATTTGCACAGTGCTGTCCACATTTTGGAGTATTTTATCAAATTTGAAAGTACTACAAGAAAGATTGGGGTTTTTAATGTCAGGGAGGTGGAAAGATATTTTTCTAGCTTTAGGTGAGTCTCTGGGGATGAGATAAAAGAAGGCCTGTGAAAAGAAAAAGACAGGAGAGCAGGCCAAGTGGAAGAGGATGGATTTTGAAAACACTCAGTAGCTAAGCAGCGCCTTCATAAGAGAAATGCTGTAGACACAGCTTGGTGTTAACACCAGCAGGAATAACATTAAAATATTTCTCAGCGATGCAATTGCCAGACATGAATTAGTTCTGACTTAGACCTTGCAAGGGAGCAGGCAAGGTTAATCAATATAAGCTACCTTGTGAAAGCAATATACTTATTACAAGAAGTGAAAACTATGGGCTTGACGTTCAGTAACATAATTAAGTAAACAAAGATGAAGACTTTCATATTATAGAGACAGGGAATGGTTTTTAGGAGCAGAGTTTGGATCATTCTCAAAAGGATTTAAATGCAACAGCCTGCAAGAATAACTCAGTTCGTTCTCTCTCTCTTTTTGCTTTGGTACTAGGCCATGATATCAACATAAGCCAGGTTTGCAACAGGCCAGAGCAGCAACACACGGCCCTTTGTTTTATAGCCCCACACAGTAGTCTTGACCTGGCTGTCCATTGGAGTCACCTAGTGAGGTTTCAAAAATCCCAATGTCTGGGTCTCACCCCTCGCACCAGTGCCAAGGCCTGGGGCACGGCTTTCACTCTTTCGAAAGCTCCCAAGTGATTTCTGTGGGCAGCCCCGGCCTGGAACCACTGCCCTACGGTTTCAATGAGCTGTAGACAAAGCTGTTAAATTCATTACCCAGCCAGGAAAAGTTACAGCTTTTGAAATCGTAGTCCATTCCCTATTCATTGTCAAAGAGAATTCTAAAACATTCCTGAAAATATCACATTTCGGGAACAGGGTGTAAAATTATCCTCAGGAAGCCTGTGGAGATGAAGAAGAGCTGCCGTGGCTCGGTGTCACAGATAAAGCCTGTTTTAGTGCAGGTGCACTGAGAATCTATGTGTGTCAGACTCCGGGTGTCTTGCATATTTTGGGAAAAGTGATAAGGCCAATGTAAAAAGATGAGAATGAGTGCTGAAGGACTGAGAGGGAGCGTGTTAAGAATGGAACTATTACTATTTTGAACTATCTGATACATAATTTTTTAAAAAGACCAGGTGTGATAAAATTGGCTAAGAAACAAACCGAGGAGCCAAGAGAAATACAAAGGAGGCGTCAGAAAAAGGATTTTGATGTCAGCAGTTACCACAATGGGGTGAATCCGATCAGACATGTAAATATCATTTCTTCATTGCGCTAGGAGAATACATTCTTTTAAATAAAATATTATGAGGAAAATAGAAGAATTTGTGAGACTACTTTAAAAATAAGTCTTCCTGTGTGGTCCAATAGTATAAATAAATACAAGAGAATTTTAGACATAGGTCTATCTCCTTCCTTCCTAACCAGGTCAGTGTCTTTCATTGAGTTAGTTTGAGTGGAATGGAATAAAGCATGCTGAAATGTATGGGTCCTCCATTCATCTTCTGGATCGGGGGCATCCTCTGCGAGCCAGTCTCTGTATCCACCATACAGCCCTTTTGCGTCCATTTTCCTTATATTTATCACTTGCTCGCTAGCGAGTACTACAGCAATCCCTAGCACTCTCTGGATAATCAACTTTCAGAAATGTTCTTACTAATAGAATTTGTGTTTACTAAGAGTTAAAAATGTATGCAAAAATTATAATATTTAAGAAGCTAAATAGCATATTAAGTGAATCTTTCAATGTAGTTCATTCCAATGAGAGTTAGGTGACTACGTTATAATGTGCCTTGGTTTTATGTACCCACGTCTATGAGTATGGGCTGTGGACCACTGTAGAGAGATATGTTAGGCTTTCATTGATCCACAAAGGTTAGCATTGGGTTTAAGTGTCATTTATCCCAAACTCCCTTCCCCCTACTTCTTAGCATATCCTGGGTTTCCCTACAGGAAGGTCTGTGAATTCTTCCTTGGACGCCTATGTCTGGTCTGAGTTTATTCCCTTCTCTGTGAAACTTCTGTACTTGGTAACCTTTAGTGTAGTTAGGAGGTTTGTTCACATTGCATCAGAGTCTCTAACGTTATTTACTGAACCTCATGTGGAGTTTTTAAGGAGGAGGAAGTTGACTGGGGTAGGACTAAATAGCGTCAGTTAGGGATCCAAGTGACCTTCCCCTGGAGGTCTAACGGTGACAAAACAGGAATGACCAGATCTTTTGCAGGAAGCTTTGTCCATTTCCTATGTACAAGACTCCCTTGAAGGAAACAAAGCCAAAGTTCACTTACAGGTCAATAGTTAAGAAAGCTGGGTGGCACCTGTGGCTCAGAGAGTTAGGGCGTTGGCCCCATATACCAGACGTGGTGGGGTTCAAACCCAGCCCCTGGCCAAAAAAAAAAAATAGTTAAGAAAGATCTAAGGAATACACAGTGCATGTAAAAAGTAATAATTACAAATTAAGTTGTCCAGAAACAAGACTCCAATCTCTGGACATGGTAGCCCTCTACTAGTATTCTTGAAGAAAATTAATTGAACTGGTAACTTATAGGCTTCAAATTTGACGTTTTTTCTCTTCCCTTCTTCTCTTTTCTTTTCTTTTTTTACTTTAAATTTCTGCTGCAGCATCTCTCCAAGTAAAATATGATCATTGTTATCATTTTTAAGTGCCAACATTTGACAATAATGATTTCATAAAATTCAGTGGTAAGGAACGCAATTGTCATTCTATACATTTCTCAATTCCTTTAACTTAAAATGTTGAGCTCAAGAAAAACCAGGGCTGCCTAGATAGGATTAACTTCCTCAAGGGGAAGGAAGAACATAAGATCACGGACGTCATTTTGGGATTAAGCCACCCCAACGGGAAAATCCCAAGTTCTCTCAGAACTACTGATCTCATCACTTTAGTTGAGGTTCAGACTCCTACACAAAGCAAACCCTGCTTTTCTTTATTGGATCTTGGATTATTACTTCCATTTTCACCCTCTACAAGTGAACATTCCTTAAAAAACCATTTTCATAGTCATTTCACAGTATCTCTAGTTGAGCCACCATGTCCCTCTTTTTAGCAGATGGCTCCTGCCAGCAGGAAGCCTAGAAGCCAATTGTCATAAAAATAATACAAATGGTGGCAGTGGGGAGGGAATTTGCTTTGAGAACATCCCACAGTTTTCATGTGGTGAAAAACTTCTCACTGCATAAAACGGATGGCTCTAGGGAGCCAGAACGTCACTAAATGTTTTCCCTTTAGAAGCCTCTTAGAATCAGAGATTTCAAAGCAGGAAGGAGATTTAGCCGTCCTCAGTGTCCTCACTATTTCACAGTTGAGAAAGTGGAGCCTGAAGAAAAGAGGTACTTCAGCCCCGCTTGGGGTGTCTGTGGTCACCCTGGGTGGAATCTCAGGCCTCCTGCAGCTGGCCTGCCTGTGCACCAGCTGGCCTGGTGAGTGATGGCACTGCACCCGGGTTAGGATTTTCTGTGCTATCATTGCAAAAGTCACTGCTTTTACAGAATGAAAACAATTTACTGAGTGGTTGTATATACTTTCCTCTTCCTTCTTCCTTCCATTTCCCCCCGGTCCTGTGAATTAAGTATTATTAAACCTATTTTACAAATGAGGAAAGTGAAACCACCGTTTACAATTGTAAAATTGGTTGTGAGGATGTATAACCCCCCCCCTGGGTGAGGGGCTCTTTTACAACTGGAAATTTACTCTGGAAGTGAGGATAATGTAACCTAAAAAATGTGTACGCTCATATTAATTTGAAATAAAAAATAAGCTAAATAAAGTAAAATAAAATAAAACAGAAAGGGGGAATAAGACCAGAACTGTGGTAAGGGCCTGAGGTCAGAGGCACAGGCATCGCTGAAAGTAATGAAAATAACCAGCCACTGTCCTCTAGTTTGTTTTGCTATAATTGTTACTCGGGAGTTGTATACCTGATGACCATAGCGATTCTTAACTTTCTCCATAGATAACATTACTCTTGTGAAACCTAAGGCTAGTTTTTGAGATATCTTCCAGGCCCTGCTTTCTGGTTAGAAGGTAGAAGGACTGACCCACCCAGACCAGTGGCCCCACTATGAGGAATTGATTTAAGGAGTATGGCCACCCCCACCCAAGAACCAACTCAGCAAAGAAGACAGTGTCTACCCCCCTATGGTTCCATCCCAAACCCAGCCAACCAGAAGACCCAATTGCTTAGGATTTGCCCCCCCCCCCCGCAAAACTATCATTAAAATCCCTTTTTTCCAAATTTTGGGGGAGGTGGATTTGAAAAATTCCTCCCATCTCCTCACACGGCACCTGTGAACGCACTGAACTCTCTCCCTGCTGTCTCCCCTGCTGTCTCAGTGTATCGGCTCCATCTCGAGCAGTGGGCAATGAACTTGCAGAGTTCAGGACTCATGGAAAGTCATAGCCAAGCCGGGATCCAAACCAAGACCTGTCTGAGTCCCAGAATCGGGTGCCTTTTTTCTACTAGACTAAACTGCTTGTCCTTGTTTGTTTGTTTATTTCTCAATATCTACAACATTAACGGTCTGAAGAGCCAGTGTCTTAGAAATTATGATGAATATTAATAGCTCTGTTGTTTTTAAAAAGTCTTTAGAGAAATTATCTAGAACAGCATTCAATTCATTTTATCGTGAAAGCTTGGAGTTCATTAAACCTCTCCCGCCCCCAGTTGTAATAAATCTGTACATAACTGACCTAGAGAGACGCCTATATTAAATTAATTGGCGAAAGCAAATTGCAAAGCAGTGTGTATGATGTAATTCCACGTAGGGTCTAGTTAACATTACAGATGTCTTAAATGCGTATTATGTCTGTGGGTCGTCACTACAGAAGTTTTGAAACAGACTGTGTTATGGTCTATTATTTCACTTCCAAGAAACATAGTCACCAGCATCTTTTCTGATTCACCCATGCAAGTTTCAACTTGCTCGGCTTATAGGTGCTGCTGGAAGGGCTGCATTTGTTTCTGTCCATGCAGATTTTACATTTCTTGATTTTTATGCATCTTAAAACTTAAGTAATGACTCAGATATAAAAATATCTGTGCATAGAAGATATCTGAAAAGACAGACACCAAAACCTTTAAAAAGGTTCATACTAAGAAGTGGGGTTTGGTACCCGTAGCACAGTGGTTAGGGTGCCAGCCACATACACCTAGGCTGGCAGGTTCGAACTCAGCCCGGGCCTGCTAAACAATAATGACAACTGCAGCAAAAAAATAGCTGGGCTTTGTGGCAGGCACCTGTAGTCCTAGCTACTCAGGAGGCTTAGACAAGAAAATTGCTTGAGCCCCAGAGTTTGAGGTTGCTATGAGCTGTAACACCACGGCACTGTACCAAGGCAACATAGTGAGACTCTGTCTCAAAAAAATAATAATAAAATAATAAAATAAATAAGAAGTGGGATTGGGGGGGCCAGGTGGTTAAGAGAATTGGGAAAGAATTGGGTGATTATATATCATTTTAATTTTTCATAATAAATGTACATTATAAAACATTAGTTTAAAAAAGGAAAACATAAATTTAAACTTTCTCATAGACCCATTACAAAAATTTTACTTTTCTTGTAACTAGAAATGATAATTAGAAAGTCATTATGCTGCTTTGAATTGTCCAAAGGGCATTTGATCATAGGAAATGAGATTATTTTTTCTCCTGGCATGAAAATATTTGTAAAGTTCCAACAGCAAAGCCCAGCCCAGAGCTGTTGCACAGTAATTGTTAATTAGCTCTTCCCAGCTCAAAACAAAAAGCAGTAAAAACTAATCTCTGGGACAAATGAAAGTAATTTGTAGCTTGTGGAATATTATAAAATCATCAGGTTGCACTTTTCACCTTGAACTGCAGACTCATCCCTCATTCCTCATCTTTCCCTTCTTCTATTTAGGCTCAGAGCACCTTGCATTCCCAGCACCTTTTCTGGAGTAGCCTAGGTTTTTAAGGGATCTAAGAGATTTTATATTTACAAATTTATTCCGTTGTTAATAGCTATCACATTGTTGCTTGTTTAATCTGCCTCTAGAACGTCCAGCTGTTGAGGATTCACTTTTCCTTTTTATTTCTTTTACGAGACAGTCTCACTCCATCACCCCAGTAGATTGCAGTGGCATCTTCACTGCTCACTGCAACCTCAAACTCCTGGGATCAAGTGATCCTCCTGGCTCAGCCTCCCCACTGGCTGGGACTACAGGTGTCTGCCACAACATCCGGCCAATTTTTCTTATTTTTTGGTAGAAGCAGGGTCTTGCTCCTGCTCAGGCTGGTCTCAAACTCCTGAGCTCGAAGTGATCCTCCCGTCTAGACCTCCTTGAGTGACAAGATTCCAAGTGTGAGCCACCGTGCTGGCCTAGGATTGACATTTTAAACTGTGTTTATTCCAATTTCCCTGACTTTGTCCTCTGTCAGTAGGACAATATGGTTTTCTTCACTTTACAAAGTGTCTTGTTCCAGGTGAACACAACTGAGAAGCCACTGAGAAAGCCACCAGCCAGGCTGAAAAAACTCAAGATCAAAAAGGAAGTAAAGGATTTCACAATAAGGGACATCGAGGAGAAGATGCAGGCGGCAGAGGAGCGCAGGAAGGTACTGAGCTCTCCAACCCACAGAGCCTGAGGAGCTCGCTGCACCCTAAAATGAGCTTATGTCCATATTTTACATGATCTGAGTGCTTCGTATACTATATATTTAGTGTTTTTTTAAAAATTTCCATTTAGAGGAATAAAGCAATATCTTGAAGTTGGTTGAAGATTATAGTTTTGTCTGTAAGGCCTAAGTAAGAAGTATCCAATTCTCAAAATTAAGTGAAGTATGGAGTTTTCCTCAAATAAAATAATAAGTTTAATTTGGTGTAGGGATAGGAGAGGTATAGTGGGGTGTGGTGTTAAGCTGAAAAGAGCCCTTGCAGAGCCTCAGACAACACCAGCAGCATTTGTCCATGTGCCCCCAGAACCCTCTCCCTGCCATTCTGTCTCGACCCAGCCTTTGTTTTGGGTCCATAGCCTTCACTTCCCAGCTCTCTATTTGGCCTTTCAGAGCAAGAACCAGATGCCAAGCTCCATGAGGGTAGGCTCTGTGTCTGCCTTCATCACCAGGAATTTCTCAACAAGCTTTGGTTACATGACTGAATAATGAAATAGACAGAGCCATCAGGGTTGATTAATAGACAGACCCATCAGTATTGATTAACAAGCAGTCTTGATAAGAACTTGTGGACAGTTGTTCAGGCTCTGTTTCACTCTTCAATACTGCTTTTTAGAGTAAAGAAGACAAAATAAGAAAAAGGTTACGGAGAGACCGACTTTTGCCCTCAGCCAGTCATTCGGGGTCAGCTGAACTGAGTAAAGGACTTCAAACAGTGAGTTCTGGGTTTGACCTGTCCGCCCTGCAGGAAGGAGAGCCCCTGAAGAGGAAGAACAGTAAAAGTGACGTAACTTCACTTGATAGAAGCTACAATTATGGAAGTATTGTGGTTGTGGAGTCAGACGTGTCCTACAATCAAGCAGATGACATATTCTAGTAGGCCATTTTCTGTGAATTTCTTAGGAGGGGATCCATTCTCCCCAGTTGTGACATTCTTAGTGTGTGTCGTGTTCTTTGCCTGCCTGACCTCACTGTGTTGGGATTTCAGCCTTGGGCTTAGGAATGATTGTGTGAGCTGAAGGTTAGTTGAGTAAATTAAATGGCCATGCTAGCTAATAAGTAAAAAGGAGAGAGAGTTGACCAGCTTAGATGTTATAAGATTGGTATTCTCTTTCATGTGCTTTAAACGTTGTAAAGATATCTTTATTTTATGAGTATTTTCATTCAGGGCTGTCCCAGCTGATGCCCTACGGGATACGTGCAGATTGTTTGAAAATTCTTTCACTTACCTGTGGTGTCAGGTGTTAGATATCATGAAAAGTGTGCACAGAACTTTTTTTTTGCTCATCAGCTGTAGTTAGTGTTTGTGTGTTTAATGTGTGGCCCAAGACCACTCTTATTCTCCCAATGTGCAATGGAAAAGAAAAAAGATTGGACAACCCTAGATGTTTGTGCCAAAGAAAATCCTTCCTTTTCAGAACCTGTGGCTGTGTCCACCATCCACATTCTGCTGATCCTTTAAGAAAAATTACTTGGATTTATATGAAGTATTTTCATAATCTGCATACTTCTTATGCTGTACATCTATTTTTTTAAATTTCTTTGTGTTACAAAGGAACAAAGCAAGATCTTAAAGTTGGTTGAATTAACCAGTTTCATCCATATAGTTTCAGTAAGCAATATCCAGTTCTTAGAATTATGCACAGTAATGGAGTCCTGGTCATGTAAAAACAGGAAAACTTCAGACGGGGTGAGGGGGGAAGGAAGTTGGGGAGATAGGAAGTAGATTAAGAGTCAGCCCTATTTCCTGTTTCTTTCTTCCCTCCAGGCATCTGAGCTGAGGAATTTGCTGGCCCTCATCTTATGGGAATTACACCTTGTTTCTTTCCCCCCTCACCATCCAGTCAGTTGTCAGGTCTCATGGGTCTATATTCTGAAGGTCTCTTGCATCCATCTTCATACTTTTGTTCTGTCACTATTTAGTTTAGACCACCCATCATCATCCAGCTGAGTTACTACAACAGTTTTCTCAATCTCTACATGGTAGTTGTCTGTTTAAAACCCTTGCTGGTCCCCTTTATATAATCAAGATAAAGCTCAGACTTCTTGGTAAAGATCTCAGCTTTCACAATTCACCCAAACTGTAACCTGTTCCAGTTCCTCAAACCCCACACCCTTCCTTAGCCTCTGGTCTCTGCACATGCTGTTCCCACCTTCCCCTCTCCCTGTCTTACTCCTTGACTTGAAGAATGCCTTCCTGTTTTTCATGGCTCAACTCAGATGTCACTTCCTCTAAGCCCCTCAGTTGAGGCTGGTACCCCTATCTCTGAGTCGCATTCTGGCACCTGGGACTGCTCCTCTCTGCATTTATCACCCTGTGTAGGAGTTACCTGATATGTTTCCATCTACCTAATGTTAGGTATTTACACTTTCTGTGGGGCAAAGGCATGGATCCATTGTGATTATGGTTGCATTTTTTATACCACTGAAAGCAAAAGGCACATCATAAGTGCTGTGTGAATATTGCTTCAGTCAGTGAATCATGCCTCTATGTCCTCTAGACCCAGGAGGACAGCCCCTAGACATGGCTTGTTTTCCTGGGAACAAGCAGAAAAACAAGTGGCTGAGGGCAGGGGCAATTTGACTTGAGGACCACTCATCATCTTCTGTGTATACATCCCCTCGGTGAACTTGCATATGGATACCTTGTGTGTTCATAATCTGCAGGACTTCAGACTCTTACAGCCAGTGGCGAATGATGATAGTGATGGAACCAGTGGGGCTCTTCTTCAAAATTCCCTGAAGAAGCATGTTGTAGAGTCAGAGTCTACTTCTTACACTGTCACTGTGGAAAGGCGTGTAGTAGGCTCTGTGTGTCTCAATCACTTCAGTGTCAGCTTGGAATAACCACCAACACAGAGCTGTAGCAAACAAAATAATGTGTTGAAGTACTGTGTATAGTAGAATAACACACAGTATTTATAGCACATTAGTTATATAAAATCCCATGTAAGCAATATGATGTTTTTCATCCGTCCCAAGGTTTTTCTATGTAAGTGTCCTCAGAGTGGCATGAGCCAGTCTTATAAAATCACAGAGTAGCTAAAATAATTGTATAAGGAGCCTTCAGAAAAAGATTTGGGTATCATTCATATCTCTGCAAACAATAAAAATCTAAATGACCACCAAATACTTTCAACATAAAGTTATGTCATGAATTAAATTCTCAAATTTGATCAATACTGACATACTATTTTCTTTTCTTTTCTTTTTTTTTTTTTTTTTGAGGGAGAGGCTCAAGCTGCCCTCCTGGGTAGAGTGCCGTGGCATAGCTCACAGCAACCTCCAACTCCTGGGCTCAAGCGAGTCTCCTGCTTCTGCCTCCCAAGTTCCTGGGACCACAGGTGCCTGCCACAACGCTTGGCTATTTTTTTTTTCCGGTTGCAGCCATCATTGTTGTTTGGCGGGCCCAGGCTGGATTCAAACCTGCCACCTTAGGTGTGTGTGCCTGGTGCCTTAACCACTTGAGCCACAGGCGCCGAGCCGACATAATATTTTCTCTTGAAACCTTACGCTCTTGACCATGCTAATGGTAGGGGCTCAGATGGCATGTTTATTGAGTTAAAATACATGTGGTATAAATGTGAACATTATCACTGGTATGTTGGCCTGAAAACCTCGCTATACACATAAACATGCAAAAGAGTAACACATCCTAAAGATAATTGGTGTATTTTCTTAGGGAGCCCCTCCACTTTAAAAGGATGGAAAGAGAAACAATTAGAACATAGGGTAGCGGGAAGTTCCCAGGAACTTCTGTAAAGTTCTAAGTATATCACGACCCACAGAAATCATCTCAGGGTTTGCAGGTGAGAAGACAGAGACTTGGAGACTCTGAGCAACATCCGCAGTCACAGAGCCACTCCCCTCAACTCGGGATGCAGCTTGTATTTGAATCTTTGCCTCCAAAGCACTAACTCCATCCCTGCAATGTGCTTTCAAAAACTTCACATATGAATTTGGCTTTTGCCCAGGATCATCTTTCTTTTTATCCCCAGGATCATCTTTCTTTTTTCCTCTTTCTTTAAAGAAAGTTTTGTATGGATGAGTAATCAAAAAGAAAAACTGAGATTTCCAAAATACAGTCTCTGGGATAATGTTAATTTCATGTATTAAAATAACATAATTGGGCTCGGCGCCTATAGCTCACCCGGCTAAGGCGCCAGCCACGTACACCTAAGGTGGCGGGTTCGAATCCCCAGCCCGGACCCGCCAAACAATAATGACGGCTGCAACCAAAAAATAGCCGGGCGTTGTGGCGGGCGCCTGTGGTCCCAGCTACTTGGGAGGCGGAGGCAGGAGACTCGCTTGAGCCCAGGAGTTGGAGGTTGCTGTGAGCTGTAATGCCACGGCACTCTACCCAGGGGGACAGCTTGAGGCTCTGTCTCAAAAAAAAAAAAAAAAAAAAAAAAAAAAAAAATAACATAATTGGTTTTCTCATTCTTAAAACACAAAACTTTGAACAACCACCAGGGCATTTCAACTAAATCAAACCGCAATTTTCAGGAAGATACAGGCCAGGGAACACATGATTATAAACGTCTCTGTAATCCTCTTGATTGGTGGCCAACTGACAAATGCCTGTACGGTTTTTTGTTTTTTTTTTTTTTGGTGAAAAATGACCTTGCTGTATCTAATAGAAGTGACTTGGGTATTTAATAATTCTGTAAACTTAGAGGGTGAAAATAAAACTCATGGATAACTAATAGTTAAGGTATATTTTAAATAATATTTAAGGTACAACATTTTAAACGGTATTTAAGAGCTATATTTTTAAATCTTTCCCATACATTTTAAATAATGCACGTTATAAGGTACTAATGTTTGTGAAAGTAATTTTGTAATCACAGGGACAAAAATAGAATTTATCACAGAGTGTTGCTATAGAGACTACCAGTAATTTATGACTGTGCCTATTTCTGTGTTTGTTATTTCATTATCAGTAAACAGCTAGTATTTGAAGAGGTAATGATACAGTAAACACCAAATTCTAAGGATATGTAATGCTAAATTGTATCAGCATAGGGATCACTTTCACATCCCCATACTCTGTATATGGGAAATCTTCACGTAGGGCACAGTGGAGCCTATGACTCCGGCTGGTCAAGAAAGGGCATTATTTTTAAATAAACTATGGAAGATGACAGTTATGTTCCCTCTGTGTCACCTATATTTGCCTTTTACCAATAAGAGCTACCTCTCTGGGTATTCTTTTTTTAATTCCATGAGTAATATGTAATAGGAAGAAGCAAAAAGCTTCTAGGAACCCAACACTTTCCTCTTCCCTTAAAATACCTGCTGGCCAGGCTCGGCGCCCGTAGTGCCAGCCACATATGCTGAGAGTGGCGGGTTTGAACCCAGCCCAGGCCAGCTAAACAACTGCAACAAAAAATAGCCAGGCATTATGGTGGGCGCCTGCAGTCCCAGCTACTTGGGCTGAGGCAAGAGAATCACTTAAGCCCAAGAGTTTGAGTTAACTGTGAGCTGTGATGTTACGGCACTCTACCGAGAGTGAAATACTTAGACTCTGTCTCAAAAAAAAAAACCCCAAAAAACACCTGCTGGCCACATTTTGTCACAGGGACATCAATGCATTTACCTTACAAGAATGGACTCATCCTATATAAGCTGTTTGTACCTTGCTTTTTTTGGTCAATAGTAGGATCTCTTTCCACGTAACTCAATCTGCCTCCACAGTTTCATTCTTGATGATGTAACATTGTTTGGTTTTCCTGCTGTGTTTTGAAGGGTTTCCATAGATAAAGACAGCCAAAACCTGTGTTTCCATTTCCGTTTTGAGAATGTTGGTAAATAAGTATAATTGAACTTTTCCCATCAAAGCAGCATAGTCTAAACCCCATGGAGGGGAGAAGATGCCACCCTTGCTGCACCCCCGTAGCTTGATCACTGCTTCTCCATCAGAGACTGCGAGTGCAAACAAACAATGAAGGTCAGATGTCGCCAGTCTTCAGATCCACCTCCCGACTCTTCTCTGGTTCAGGAAGTTGAATTCATCTCACCACACTTTTTATTCAGCACACTGAG